AACTCAGGTGTACCACCAATTATCACAACAAATATTCAGCAACAGGACTTGTTAGAGATTGGAAACCACCTTGTATCAGTTACTGCGACGGACGGCTCAGGAAATACCAACACTTCATGTTCTTTTACCGTAAAGGTCATAGGTAACAGGCATAAATCACTATCCATAATACATTATGTTCATTTTGTTTAAAGATGTATTGTCTTATGATGTTAAATACCAAAAAATTATAAAAATATTTTTTTGAAATTAACTTGCCATTTTGAAGCAACATAAAAGTTATCATATTCAACATAGCAATTGGTGTATTTAAAAAATGTCTACCCATCCGTTTACAGCGAAAAAGATAGAAACAATTCTAGATACTGGAAGTGTTTTATTACTTTTATTATATTTTTCTGGTTAAAAAATCAGGGTACGCATTTTTTAAATTCCATCATTTCTATGTACAAGTTAATTATTTGTATGTTAATGCAAAATGAGCAAGTTGATTTCATAATTAATTTTATTATTTTCTGACATTAGCAAGGGAGGTATTTGGTGAGGATTGGAGAAATTACAGAGAAAATACATATTGTGTGTCAAACTATTAAGTTGAACAAACTTTGTATGACTTTGTTTACGATTATGCCTGTAATTTGATACTTGGTTTGAAAATACTCCTACAGCATTAGTCCAACCAGGAAGTTGTTGTATGGACGCCGGAGTAGGTAACGATGAGAAACGATGAGAAGCAAACATAAAAATCAAGGTCAATTATGATAGAAAACAAATATCTACTTTTACTTTGTGGAAAAAATGCCTATTTCAGAAAACGCTACTTCACACACAGTTAAACTTGCACAATGAAAGGAAAGAAATGACAAGTACCAGTCTCCGACAATTTAAACGTCCGGTGGCCCTGCAAAATATTGGCGACTTTAACTTGGGTTGCGATCGATAGTTTGATTTTATATTATAGCATTTTCCATATAGTACAAACATGTATATTTACAATATGTTTTTATTTTTGAAATGCTGCTTTTTCTGGCAATACAGTAACGCATATTAGTAAACATCACTTCATTCAAGGAAATTCATCGGTGGAAGATGTTGACAGGAGATAAACAGGCTTTAGCCCCCAAACACTTAAGATTTTATCAACATGTATCATTTTTATATTTGTATCAAATGCATCCTTTGGGACTAAAAAACTGTCCCCACAAACGGGGGACACAAACTAAAAACGTGAATCCCGTTAATATGGGTTTTTAGCATGTTTTTAGTGACATACGAATCAGTTACATTAAAAGTAGAACTAATTTAGAGCAATAATTTTCAATGCAAATACAATTCCTAAAAATATGAAATGATCAGAAATTTAATTCAAACAACAGTAGTGTTTTATGTTCCGTAAGTTATTTCATGATCCAATGTTAATGACCAAATTTTATTTTTAATATTGAGCATTATATTTGGATGGATGTAGCATGAATAGAGAACAAATTACAATTGAGGGTACATATTATGGTATAGATTAGAATCCTATATAACAGTGCATGAAAAACAAATAAAAAGAAATCCCTGTGGTTAAGGGTAAAAATTGTATTTCTATGTCCACTCTAAGAATTCAGTGGAGAAAATTTTGGTCTATAGCTCAAAAGGTGTCAAAATATAAAGTTGAATGAATTTTTCTTATTTTGAGACTGATGTAGCTGTTCTGACACAATGAAAAACAAATGAAGTGTTTTCCTTTAATAAGGGTTATTTTATCATTTCGCACACTCAGTACGGTATGTGTCTCCGTCCGTTATTAAATAAGAGTTGGCCGTAGGTTAAAAGATCATTATATTGCCCCTCATTTCATGGAAAAGTATCCCCTTAATAGGTGTGTCCCAAAGGAGATTTCTACTGTAATAGCCCATAATTTGGCCTATATTTACTATTACTATTTAAGGCCTACGAAAATCTCAATTTATCAACCAAACCTACGTCATGTGGGCTGCTGCCGTATAGACCCTCCATCAGTGAAAATGACTCCCTTGGACAAACTATTTCAAATTCATGGATTTCAAGAAAAAACAGGGTGCACATTTTTAAATTCACAGATTTTTATGCTCAAGTAAATAAGTTATTGTCCAAGAAAGTCTAATCAAAATCAATATATTTTTAGGTGAAATAAAACAACGATTTCGCCAACTAGGTGAAATATTCTGCCCTGTCATGAAAAAACCACTCAACTGACAATTTTTTCAAAATGAAATTTTTCAGCGTTTTGCACTTTTGGGGATATAACACATCTTGTGATGTATTCAGATTTTTGAAATTATAACGGAAAATATGAAATTTAAAAAATAAAAAATCACTCAACTGCAAGTCTGTGTTACTTTTGTCAGCAAAGACGCACTCAACTGCAAATGTTATGAAAGACTTCACTTAACTGGCATTTAATACCTATTATGTAAAGGCCAGCTCAGACAGCGTCGGCCGACGCAGCCCGACCCGATTTATCGTCGGGGACAGTCTTAAGCCGTCGTGAGAAATATTAAACACGTTTAATATTCTACTACGCGACTGCCCCCGACGCACACCATCGCGTCTGCGTTCAACTCACACAGACCCGACGCGACAACAAATTGTTGGCCTTAATAGTTTATCATGAGAAACCCACTCAACTGCATAGTGCTGTATACTGTTTATCATTGAGAAAGACGATTGTTTAATGTATATAACATTACTTTCAGAATGAAATCATTATAAACAATATCTTCATTGGTGCACAATATTAGTATTAAGGAAACATTATCTTGTATTTTTTTTGGCATTAGTCCTACTAGCAAAATATGGATATCGATGTTACTTCTGGGAGGGGATCATTATGGAAGCAGCTCCCAATATGTATAAAGGAGGCATGTTCTTGACGTTATTAGGGGGCCACAAAAAAAAGCATATTTTCTTATTTAATTTGTCTTTTTTTATTTAATACATTTAGTGTCTAATATCGCTCTGATAGATTATTATAATGCACTATTTATTACCTATGATATTATTATTTTTTTGAAATAAATTAATTTGGATCCAAATATAATTTGTATGAAATTTTTCATTTGTGTAAAACTTAAACGTAGTGTGAGTACTATTGTTTTGTTTTTTCATACATATGATATTATTTATATTTAGCTTATTATTATTAATTTAATTTATTAACCTACTTATTATTATCCTATTAATAATTTATTATTATTATTATTATTATTATTATTATTATTATTATTATATTTATTGCATACAGTTCAACATATATTGTTCTTCTGTTTGATATTTAACTTTATATGAAAAACAAAATAGGATGAATTTCTAAAAAATGGAACTATAGAAAACTGTTTTTAAAATATGATAAAAGAGGATTAAACAGAGAAATTCTTGAAGACAAATAAAGAGAGCATTGTCCGAAAATAATGGCAGAAATACCAAGAAATACAATTGGAAATCATTTTTTTTTAATTTGCATTTAAAATATAATCACATTTAAATTTAATTATCTGCAATCTTCAAAATATTTGAAGCCGAAAAATCATAGGCCTAGATTAGACAATCATAAACAGGGTGCTATATTGAGTATGCGTGCTTCTATTCTATGCCTCTGCCATCATAGTAAAAAAATAGGCCTAACGATAAATTTACTCACAAAAGTTGATATAATATCACTTATCATCTTAAAGTAATATTATTGGATAATATAACATGTTTTTATATTCAATAAATACTGTAGTTGAGTTAATTCTTTCATGACAAATGCAGTTGAGTGAGTCTTTCATGTTTTTCTTATATGTGATTGACCAATTATGTCATGAAAAAAACAATAAATGTGACATATTGCATATTATGTAGAGTAATTAAAAATACAAGTTCTACACAATGAACAGTACTTATAAAACCTCTAAAATCGTGTGAAAATAAGGATTCAATTATTTACGCATGGAGAGAGCGAAGACAATACCACGTTTTGTTGATTATCTCAGAACTTTGTTAAATGCAGTTGAGTGAGTTTTTCATGACAGGGCAGTATTAGTGTAGGCTTATTTAAAATGGTTTTTGTTTCTGAATGAAATTGAAATTCTCGGTTTTGATTTACTTTGTTCATGAAGTTAAATATTATAAATATTAGTATACTGTAGGCCTGTTACAATATAAATAATGAACTTGCAAGTAAATATGGAAGTATACAATTGTAGATTTTGTGTTAATACTGTACTTTGTAAGTTTTCTTTTCTAAATATTACAGGACATACAGTATCCTTAGTACATTTTTATTATGAATTATTATTGTTACAATTTAAGTCAAAAAGATGGTTTTTAAATGAAAAAGAAACCCCTTAAACGTCGAACCTTTTCTATATATCAACAATATACCAGGGAGTTGTTATGGTGACGATAATGCAAAGTATACTAACCTTCAACATTCCATAAAAAAAATAGAAATATATTAAAGACCCGGTGAAATCTAGCATTTATAGATTTGTGTGTAACCAGCATCTACTAATTGTAATTCCCGATTATATTAATGGTAACTTGATATTACCACAGGGGCAATGTGGGTCAATCTGTCAAGATTGAGTGAAGTGGGAATAAAGTGATGGATAGAAATTTAGAGAAATCTTAATCCACAGTTGAAAATTAAGCATGTCACTGTCAGTACAAAAAATCCTTACAATGTTTTTGGCATGTTAATACAGTATATAGATCCACACCAAAAAATACTGCCTCCCCCCCAGAAAAAAAATCACCCTTAAGTAGTTAAAAATCACCTCAAATCACCTTGTTTTGCGAGCTAGTTTTTTATCACCTAATCATCGAACTCCCCCCCCCCCCACCCATC